GATCCTTCATCGGACTAGGAACGCCAGCACAGAACCAGAGTCTTTGGCCATCACTACAACAGAACCACATCTCGTTCGCGTCGAGTAACTACTGCAAGAACACAACTCTTGACAAATGTGCCACGAGTACAGGGGGCTTCTACAACGACCGCGACTCCACTAGGTATGCTTGACTGTCGAGGGGATACTTTAGTTTGTTAGCTGACATGTAAAATAGTTTTGTGCAAGACGACAACTTTCAGACTTTGGACGATGACCAAGAGGGTTTCACGGGATTTTTCGGTCGAGAGACCTTACGACTGTACACACATTACTTCGAGACGGACGGTGCATCACAAACATTGGTAGAGAACAGCACGATCGAAGTCGCAGAATCGGGGTCAATCACACCTGGAAGAGTTGGCATGGGGTTGTCTTCCACTCTCCTTCGGGACCTGGCTGCACAAGACATCATTGCTGGGAAAACATACTCGCTCTACATCGGACAGGGATTCAAGCGTGCCGGAGGCGCAGTTAACGGTAGCAATGTCTTTGGGGGATACGACTCAGGTCGCTTCACGGGAGACACACACAAATACGCCATGAAGATCGACAATCCGAACCCGATGAGCGTCCGCATCAAGGACATCGTCATCACTAACTCTGAAGATAACGCAAACGTATCACTGTTCGATAACACGGTTTTCACCGACATGAAAACACGGGCAGAGGACTTCGAGGCCCAGATTACGACCGAACAGTTCCCGTTCTCCCTACCGTATCAGATCACCCAAAACTTCATCAAACGACTGGGTGCCGAAAAGGATAACACATGGGGCGATAAGTCTCTGAAGTTGAAGAACGCTTTCAACGGCACGTTCTCGATAGTGCTAGAAGATGGTTTTACAGTCACGCTACCCTCTGAAGTCCTCATGAACGCTTCCAACATCACGCCCATCCAAGACCGCGAAGAGTCGGCTGACACACCATTCTATTTGGGAACCGCTTTCCTGGGCCAAGTCTACTTGATGGCGGATTACGAGACCAATAACTTCTTCCTCGCTGAAGCCATTCAAAAGAACAACATGGTCATGCCTGTTACCTTTTGCCCGAAATCCACGCCCGCAGCCTACGAACGCCCCAAGCAGTCCGCCTGGGAAAGCCAAGGTCTCATCGGCGCGGTAATTGGTGGTGTAATAGGCGGTATTGGCATCATCTGCGCAAGTTACTGTATCTGGATCACTTGGATGCGCAAGAAGGATGAGCGCAACTTGAAGAGGGAGTTGAAAAGAAATTCGCAGAGGAAGATGGAGCAGATGGACATTGAGGAGGCACAGCCCAAGTTTGACCCGCCACCACGGACAGTAAACGCGGCGAAAGCTATGTTTTGGAGGAAGAACAAGCCGGGTTTGACGTTTTGAGCGGGTCGCGAGAGTTTTCTTCTTCTTGGAGGTGTCCGTCTTCATACCCTGGGCTAGCAGTGTGCGGCTCGTTTGATTTGTATAGCGTCCGGCAATCTTCACACTACTTCGTGTTCACATCCGTATGAAAATTGCTATGATCCGTGACGTTTGACAATAAGTCCATTGCCCGGAGGGTTAGGTTCGCTATGCCGTTAATCACCTGAGTTTTTCTCGAAATCATCTGCTTGAAGCGCAAATTGGGAGGGTCACCATGCTCACACAATCCTTCATCTATTTACGTCAAAACGGGCGATTCGCACTGGGTGTGGTATCAAGTGACCATAACCCGAGAGACAGTATGTGATGGCGAAGACGTATTTTGATTAAAAAATCGCGATGTTCGCCATGTCAGGTTCTTGTTTACAATATGGTACAAAGTCTGGCAGTGGTTTTGTACAGAATCGAATTGGGTCCAGGTCATGATTCGGGCGAGAAGCTGAAGCCAAGCGGTGCGAGTATCTTTTCTTGCACAACCTTGTTGGCCACTTCGCCGCCACGCTCGAGAGCGACCGCTCCGACGATGGCGTATAGAGAAGTCATGAGGACAGTTTCAAAACCAGAGCCTTGGAGGTTGTCCGCCTGTAATTCGTCAGCCTGTGGACTAGGGTGTTGTAAAGGTTCGAGCATACCCTCTTGGGAGTCCACCGTGTGACCTTGTCCAGACGGTATCGTTCTGCTATCGGTGCTAGCCGTGTCTTGCTCAAGACCAGACTCTCAGCCTCGTCGGTCAAGCCTTGCAGCCCATTCAAGGCGGGGTGTAGGTATGGTTTGCGTCCAAACTCGTCGCTGATCGGTACACCACTGGGATCTCTCGGCCATTGATTCTCCTGCGGCGAGTTTATGAGCGCCTGTGTTGTTTGTAGTTCGACTATCCTCCGTCCTGCCCTTTGTATTAGCCTCCCATCTGCCCGCCTTTGCAATGTGCACACATACCCAAGTATGCTAGTCGGTCATTGAACCCTCTCCTTCCGTGGTCGAAGCTCTTGTGCGTGACGGCTAACCACTTTAAATCTTCTCCCAGTATTTTGTCTCCTCCAGGGCCCAACATGCGTATATACGCATCGTCCAGCTTTTTCGGGTCCTCATTGACCTGGTAAACGCCCCCTCTGGCTTTCGGCCGTATCCTGTGAGGCGCCATCATTCGCGGAGGTGTCTGTTTCCATCGTGGCCTATCGACGGCTGGTGTAGCTTCTGCGTCATATTCCGTGGACCTCGATGGGGTGGTGCTCGAAAATGCGCATGCGGAGGACCGCACGAAGGACGCTCTGGATATTTGCGTGGGCCGGAGTGATGATGAAGCGGTCGAGACGAGTGATCGGAGCGGTCGTTTGGAAGTCATTGTGGCACTCTCAAGTGGTGAGCGAGGTGTGAGAGGCTTGATTGGCGGCGGGCGGGCGTGATGCTGCTGGCGGAGGTCAGTTCGGATCATCGAAAAGTTGCGGCACGCGGATCGCGCCTTACCGCAACGACGCTAGCACCAGTCGCGCCTGCCGTTCCCCATCGTGCGCCCCCCGATACGCGACGCTTCCCCTTGCTGCGCTTCTCTTGGGTCATCATGACGAGCGCTGGGGTTTCCAGGCCGCTGAAAGAGTTACTCGCCGAACAACTGCCCAAAGACGTGCCCATCACCTTCTACCACTACTCAACACCGCCCTCCAAGTCCTCCGCCCTCTTCTCCGCGCCGCCCCATGGCAAGTCCGAACGAACATACTGCGAATCGCAGACCTTGGCAGCGTCGATAGTCCCAAAAGATGCAGCAGCCTCAGAACTGCCCGAGGAGCTCCTTATGTTGGCAATTGAAGTCTTGATCTACACCACGCGAAACCTCACGACCATCTTCGTCTCCAAAGCCGACTCGACAGGTTATATATCCGAACTACAATTACCGCGAGCCCAGTCTGCGTCACCTCTGAAAGCCATTTGTGGAACCTTTGTATCCTGGCTAGCACGAGAACGACAGAGGGAAGGGAAGAAGCTGGTAGTGTCTCTCTTCGCCAGGGCACAGGATCAATACCTATTTCCGGCCAGCATCGAGAATAAGAACAAGCATGTGCTAGATGACAGGGGCTTGGTGAAGTGGTGGTGCAGAGTGCTCGATCCCATCATATGGGAGTACAAGGCTGAAGGAGAGCGGAAGCCTTTCGCCGAACGGCTGGTTGATGATGACGGCTCGAAGGCGGACAGCACGTCAGTCCAATCGGAGTCCACAGCCAAAGGCTACCTGGTGATACCGGGCTTCGAGCCATACGACACGCTGCGATACATCCCTCCACCCCCCGTCCCGAACACCCCTCGACGCTGGGTAACCACACACCCGCTCCTACAGATCGCTCCCTACCCTGCCGCTCCACCGCGGTGCCTTGTACCACACTTTCCAGACGACCCCAAAGCCAGATTCCTTGACGAATTGGACGAAGAACTTCCTGATCGGGGTACCGATGCTATGGTAGTAGATGGAGGCACACCTTCGAGAAGCAATGGGCACTGGAAGAGCGTTAAGACACTTGACCAGTTCTGGGAATTCATGGCTTTCAGGCAAGAGTGCTCATCAGGGCGTATAGTAGGCTTCATCTGGGTCGTCATAACACCACCCAAGCCTTCGATACCCGAGGAAGATGAGGACATGCCTTCGCAGCAAACAGCGTCGCAGTCGTTCTCACAGCTTGATTCGCAAGAGAACATGCCCAGTCCAAAACGGAAGAAGGCTAGTCGACGCAGAAAAGAGGCTAAAACTAGGTACGGACCAATTCCCCTGGTCCTGCCAAAGATTAAGAACAGCTCTTCAAACTTATCGACGTCGTCCAACGTCTCTTCAAGTTCCGCCAAGAACCTTCCCGAGAACAGTCCATACTGGAAATGGCCCGCTTCCTCACGTGGCACCATCTGCTTTTCGCTCAAGAACTACGACCGCGCACATGAGGTCCTTTTACAACAGAGTTTCGCAAACCGAAAGGCAGCAGCACGAAGTACGAGGAAGTGGAAAGAGGAGATTGCTGTTCTTGGGGGCATGGACGAATGGAGTTTCACAGTCAAGGGGACAAAGGAGTATGTAGCTCCAGTAAGACCTTCGGATACAACAAATGGCGTGACACCTACCATGGTCATGGGTGTGCGAAAGAAGAGGAAACCAAATACCCCATCAGAAGCGGTGGTTGGTGCAGAAAAGCCTGCAGAGTCCGCGCAAACACTAGGAGAAGGCACAGTCAGGAAGAAAGCAAAGCTAGACCCCACACCCATTACCAATGCAAGCGCTGCAAATGGGGTGAACACTTTGACAGCAGGCCTGGTGCGCAAGAAGCCGAAAACTTGAGAAAGGCTAATCTCAATCAGTGTGGTATTGTAAAGCAATTTTGGGAAGGCTTGAATTTGCATAATGAGGCGTTGGTAATGATACACGTCTCGATCTCACTCACACAATAATGTCAAGCTATTAATATACCCCTCGGATAATTCATCCTAAAACTGAACTGTACAATCTTTGGTGTCCTTCAAGCCGCGATAAGAGGACTGTCTACAGTCATGCGACCAATATCCAAGATTCATCGTCCAAGTCGCCATCTATATCCTCCCCAGACTCTTGATATCGTCGCCACATCTGATCTGAGATCGCTCTGGCGTGAGCAGCCCATTCACTATGCTTTTTCGACTCACCATTTTCCGCATTGGTCAACACCGCATCTTGCTCAGCTAGCGCTTTTCGGCGTACGTTGAGCGCTTTCAATATTGGCCTATTGTCGAGTCCTTCGTGATATGCGAGCTTGAAGCGTTTGATCAAGATGGATCCGATTTGTCTCAACTCGATTGGTTCGTCAGCACCACCAGCTGTGTCCCTGAATCGACGATGGAAATCTGATTGACCATGAAGCCATTCAACTACCGCATGATCGTGAAGACAGTCTTCGTAACCAGGTGCGAAGTATTTTATAACTTCGTAAAACAGTACGTCCACCACGGGGTCGTTGGGGTCCAGATCGAAAGCCCGGAGGGGTGCGATCAAGCCCTTAGCATTGATGACAGACCCTACAATGCGACACACATCGATTTTTCTCCGAATGGGTGTTAGGTCTTCGGTGATTAATCCTGCAGACAACAAATAGTCACCAAGAGTCGCTGTGAATAAGTCCAAGATCGAGAGGGAGTAGTCGATTTCGATGCGGCTGTTGGTAAGCCCCAGATAACCGAAAATCTTGTCGTGCACTCTGCCACAGGACTGCAAGGCGAAAAACTCGAAAGTTTTGTGAAAAGGGAGACGCTTGCCAGCGCGCAGAGATTTGTATTCAAAACGTCTGTGAGACAGGATATGAATTGCTTTATTTCGGTGGGTTTCGGTTTCGGATTGTTGTGTCTAGCTCCAGTCAGCCTCTTCAAATATTGGTATCATGCCGTAAATCATACAGATAGACAAATGTTCTGCAGAGGCAGCCCTCTGCGTCCGAATAGATCTTTTTCCGGCAAGATATTCGACCATTCTATCTCATCACTTCCGATTCGAATCGTCAGCCTTTTCGCTAGGAGTACTTCCTGCACGATCCAGAGTCGCGACCAATAGCTATTCTCCAAGACTACTTTCTCAAGATGTGCACGCGAGGCTGAGACAATGTGTACTGAACCACCAGTAGTGTCGTCTGTTGTTCGGTTTGTGCTGACATTGCATTGATTCGGGTCGTGCACTATCCATGCAACTACCTCCTCTGCCCGTTGGTAGATCTCTCCCATGATTGCAACTTGAATCGGTTTTTCCATCTCGTTGTCCTGGTCGATGCATAGTGCATCGATGAAGAACCACTCTTTCCGCTTCTCTGCCACCATTTGCGTCATGATGGTGTGCAAGTTGCTGCGAATGTTGAGACGATGATCATTGAGATGAACCAGGAACTCCAGTGATTCTTCGCCCCAGCGATAAGAGAGAGCTTTCCAGGGAGGCAAATCATCATCTAGAAGCGAAACGATACGGAGCTCGCATTGAATGTTGCCTGCATTGGAACTTAGAAGCCTGAGTAATCGGAACTGACGCTTTGAGTGCTCCAAATCGTGATACGGCGAGTGATCCCGTCGTTCCATCACGACAAGTGGGTCCGATGTTTTGTTCAGGAATGGTACCGGTCAGGAACAGCGTTGCAGGTCGCGCTTCCTTACTTTGTGCCATAGCGGGGTCAGGCTTACACCACGTGAGTGAGGCTGGTATCCCGGCAGACGCTCTCGAATGCACAAGTCTCGCGTGGCCATGCAACCAAGGCAGTTGCTGCCAGAAGGTGCAGTGATCCAAATCGAGTGCATCCTGTACCGCAAATAAATCGAGAGGAGATGGACAGAATGAAACAGCTTTGCAAGCGGCTTACTATGTGAAAGTACACCAGCCACCAGATCTGATTGGCTCTTCTGGATTGTTGTATAATTGCGCCACTCAATGGAGATATCAGACGGTTGGACGGTGACAGTAGAAGAGCTGAGGCATATGAGGTGTGGAAACCTAGGTACCTACTACCTATTACGACTGCGACAACTCTAGCTCGTACTGACCTCAATACTTGGGTATACAAGCTTTCCTTTAGCCACGAAGTGGAACTCTTGGGTGGTTATTGTGTCGATTCACTCACGAATAAACCTTGAAAGTATGTAGAGTTGTACTCTGGATCTCCACTGCAGCGGGCCATCGTCTAAAGCCTTGCAAATATGATAGGACATCAATACTAGAGGCATCGCTATGGGGGGAAGTTGTCCCTGGGCGTAGGCTGCTTTGTCGGTGTGCAGCAAGTTTGATCGCAACAAACGATGGCGATCCATGGATATCCCTGGCGGTGAAGTCGGACCGTTCGGATGTGCAAACAGTTGTAGGACAAGAAGCTGCTTCGCTTTTAACAGCTGCAGTCCGTCTGCTCCTTTGCCTGTCTTTGTGGATACTGCATCTATACAATACCCCTGAACATCGTTGAGTGGTGCTGCATCTTGGCGCTCGTCGCTTCCTGGTTCTCCGCAACCTCCGCGCTGTGAGATTCGCCAACATATCCCACCCTCATTCCCACCCTACCACACTTTTGCGCATGCTTCGCGCGCCCAACCTCGCGACGGGACAAGATGTCTCCATGTCGCGCATCATCATTGCGACCGGATGCTTGATTTGGTGGGTGATAGTTTGGAGCGTGTGTGCCATCGGCTTCGTCCAACTATTCCGCTATTATTGGAGGAGACCCCAGCAGGCAACATGCGTAACGACGTTGGAAGAGCACGAAGTCCCTCAAGTCACCGTTATACGGCCGGTCAAAGGCCTCGATCCGCGATTGTACGAGTGCCTTGCAGCCACCCTCCGCCAGGCGTATCCCAAAGACAAACTGAACACCGTGTTCTGCATTCCCGAGCGTTCCGATCCTGCCTTCCCGATCCTCGAGCACCTATGCAAAGACTTCCCGGATGCCGATGTACAGATCTTGGTCGAAGAGGAGGATCCGCTGCTCCTGAAGGATAACAACGCGCTGGGGCCCAATCCGAAGATCAGGAACATGACTCGCGCCTACAGGGAGGCCAAGGGCGACATCGTATGGGTACTTGACTGCAACGTCTGGGTCGGCAAGGGCGTTTGCGGGCGATTGGTGGACCTGCTATGTGGTTTTGGAAAGGACAAACATGGCAACAAGAAGACAAAGTACAAGTTCGTTCACCAGACGCCTCTTACGGTAGATCTCGACTCGCAAGGTCTGTCGCTTCAGGACAGGAAAGAATTGCTCGGAGGCAAGCCTCAAGCTGTAGCTGAGTCGACTAGCATTGCGGCAAGCACGTCTTCCGATCCGCGTAATCACTCTAGCAGCACCATCAGGAAGCTGCTGCAGCGCGGCGGAGGACGTCTCGACGAGGCTTTCATGTCTTCTGCCCATGCCAAATTCTACCAAGCCATCAACACAGTCGCTGTGGCACCTTGCATTATGGGCAAGAGCACCATGTTCCGTCGCTCTCATCTCAACTACGTTACCTCATCGAACCCGAACCGCGCCCCCGGTATCGACTTCTTCTCTGACAACATCTGCGAGGACCATCTCATTGGCGATGTGTTGTGGAAGCAACCTCAAGCTTTCGAGGAACGGGGCTACAAACTCGAGCCAGGAACGACAAAGGAGGCATGGGGCAAGCATGCAATGCTCTTCGGTGACTTTTGCTTCCAGCCCATCAGCCATACGTCTGTGATGGCCTATCTGCAACGTCGCATTCGATGGCTACGAGTACGGAAGTTCACGGTGACTTTGGCGACGTTTGTGGAGCCAGGTACAGAAAGTATCATTTGTGGACTGTATGGCGCCTATGCTCTAACGACACTACCCTTCTTCCACAGAATCGGCATCAGTCCAACATGGACATCCTTCTTCCTGATCTGGCTTCTACACCTATCCGCATGGTGCCTTGTAGACTATGTCCAGTATCTGCTCCTGCACTGTGCAAAGACCGTCGAGATCGACTCCGACACCCCTGACTTCATCTTGCCTCAACGATCAGCCTCTGCATACCACCGAACCGAAGTTCTGGAACCTCTGCTTGGCAACAAGACACCAGGCGAACCTAGTCTACTCGATGGCGCGAGGAGAAACTTCATAGACTTCTTATTTGCGTGGCTCGGCCGCGAGATTTTCGCATTACCAGTCTGGGTCACCGCCTTCTGGGGAGGTGTTACAGTAGAGTGGCGAGGCAGGAAGTTCTGGGTGGGATTAGATATGAAGGTCCACGAGATCTTGCCACAAGAGAAGGAAGTCAAGAATGATCAACATAAGAAACGTTAGGATTGTAGGAAGACCCATAATTGTCATTGCATAGCGTGCGGCCATCGTAGCATTTCAGGCGTTCAGATGAGAATACGGACATTATCAGCCAAGATTTCCACTTTCACATCACTGGTGAAGGAGGTCGATTTTGATTCAAAAGCTAACGAGTGTTTTTAATCTTGTCGAGCAGGATCTAGCTGAACGCTTCCCACCACAGCGTCGATTTCAGCCATCACATCTGGCGTAAGCTTGTTTATAATCTTCAAGGCTGCACAGTTGTCCACCACCTGCTCTGGCCTCGATGCGCCAGTGATCACCGCAGATACATGCGGGTTCTTCAAGCACCACGCAAGTGACAACTGCGACTGGCTGACACCCAGCTTATCCGCGATTGGCTACTCACAGTTAGCTAGATGCCATCAAGGAGGCATGGGGACTTGGTTTACCTTCAATTTCCTCGCTGCGCCGATCATACCACTCCACTCATCATTTCCATATCGGTCGCGCATTCCACTCACAAAACCATCTTTTCCCTCAGCAAACCTCGATCCTGCTGGCGGCGCATCCGGACTATCATTGTACTTTCCGCTAAGCAGCCCAAACTTCAGCGGCGAAAATGTAGTCAACCCGATCCCGAACCGCGTATAGAGGCGCTGGAACTCACTCTCCACCTTTTTCCGCTCGAGCAGGTTGTACTGCGGCTGCTCCACTACTGGTGCGATGAGACCCAACTGCTTCGCTATTCCGCAAGCCTCGGCAATCTCGTCTGCAGACCATTCTGACGTGCCCCAGTACAAAGCCCAGCCCTTCTGCTCGATGACGTGGTTGAATGCGCGAACTGTTTCTTCCATGGGTGTAAGGCGATCCGGACGATGCGCATACACTATATCGACATACTCCAGGTCCATGCGTTTGAGAGATGCGCGAAGACCCTCGATGATGTGCTTGCGTGAGAGACCGTGGTTGTTGACAAGCACTTCGCCATTTGCGCCGCCCCAGTTGAGTTTTGTGGATATCACAATGTCGTTGCGGTTCCATGCAAATTTCTTGATGGCCTGGCCCATGATGATCTCGGACTGGCCTGCGGCGTAAGACTCAGCCGTGTCGAAGAATGTGATCCCATTATCGTAGGCCGTCTTCATGATGGAAAATGTAAGTTCTGATAATGACGTTAGTGGAGTGGCTGATGAGCGTATAGGCACAAAGTACCATTTTCGACATGGCCTCCGAAACTATAATCTGATAAGTCTACGCCCAAGTGTTTTGAGAAAAGAAGATGAGTGAACGTACGTGAGCCATCCTCCTAGGCCCAGCGCAGATACATGCAAGCCCGAGTTACCTAGGCGGCGGTACTGCATGCCCGTTTTACGAGGTTCTTCCCAAGCCATCTTGCGTGTGTTTGAATGATTCGGTGATGGATTCACACGTTGATTTCCTATGGGTGCTGGAGCCAGGTGGTCCCTCAAGTACAAACCGCCATCTTCAGTCACAGGTCTTACCAAAGCCTTCAACAGTTCTGCTGACTATGCTCAAAGCGGCGAGTCCTCCATGAAGGGCGATGCCGGCGATGTAGCCTGCCGCATCGGACGGAAAACCTCAGTTGGGCAGTTGCAGCGAGTTGGGCGCTGTGCTGCCGCGGCCTTGGTATCCAGGGTTTCGGAATGACTCGTAACATCGGGGAGATTCCCGAGGTCGTCATTGATCCCCGCAATCACGACATGCGATGGTTCCAGGCAGTTGTGGGGCGCGGTAGGGAAAGTGGATCAGGCTAGAGACGTCTTCGTTGAACAAGGCGGCTCTTTGCAGCCGACGCAGAGACGTTTACTCACCATACGCGCAATCGACGCGCGATCATTCGCAACGTTGTGTAGGAAAAACAGAAAAAGAATGATTCAAAGTGTATTGAAAGTATAACTGACATACTCTCCGATGATGTCTCTTTGGAAATGGTATATAATGGGTATCAGAACTTTGGAATTCGAACTTTGGAAAGCAACCTCGGGTTAATCTCAACGACGGGTCGTAGATAGTTCGGTGCAACTAAAAGGCGAGGGGGCATTGGTTGGTAGTCGGATCGATTGAAGAGACCATGTGATGCTGCTATGCATGTTGACATTGACTGTCTGTGGATTCCACCGGCTATCGTTTCCCAACGAGATCAGAGTGTGAACCTGAAGTCTAACCGCTTGTTGCCATCCTTCTCTCGGGAGATGATGTCTGCTTGGTACAGAGCCTTCTCTTCTGAAGTCATCTGTTCCCACTGTATCTGTTTCCTTTTGTTGAGGCGGACCAAAGTCTGCCGTTGCACAAGGAAAGTAATGACACTCAGCGCGCATATAGCCACAAGAACAGAGTTTCCCTGCTTGTAGTACGGGCCATCGTACTTGCGGTAGATCTGTGAACTGATCAGAGATCCAATCTGCACAATGACATTGTACGTTGCGGCCGTAATCGCACGTTTCTTGACGTCAAAAGTGTTCTCGGATATCCAAGAAGAGACCAAGGGATGGAAATATGGGTATCCGGAGATCAGCGTGATTAGGGAAAAGCGGCCCCATTCACGGCCACCATCGGGCAGTGTCAACAACGCAATGAGAAGCGGCATGATCCAGAATTCGCCGAATATACAATGGAAAGTACGTTCGTTGAAATAGTCGCTTGAGTATGCCAATGCTAGCATAGTAACAACCTGGAGGGCCGCAGACGGAATTGTCAACATGTTGCTGTTGAAGGTGCTGAAGCCGAGGCGTTTAAGCGTGAGAGTGAGGTATCCTTGCACCGGCGAGGCAGGGATGTAAGCGACAAGGCCGATGAAGTATAAACCCCACATGGAGGAATCTGACCAGGCCGCGCGGATGTCTTTGAACGTTGCTGGCTCTTTGAGAGCAGTGAGGCCTTTGGCTGGGTCGTCTCGGAGTATACGGTTGACCATGATGACTTCTTCCCGCTCAGTGTACCAACCTTGACGCCAAAGCACATTCTTGGTGGATGTCGGCGCGGTGGGCAAATACAAGTACGAGAGAATGGCGATGACGACCGTCAAAAGGCCTTCGAGGAGGAATAGCCAGAACCAACCTGGCTTTCCACCAACACCGCGCATCTCCAGAATCCCCGCCGCAAGTAAGGCCGAGATGACACGTGCGATGTTGAGTGTCGACCAGAAGGCTGCCAGGCGTAGAGAAAGCTCCTTGGACTTGTAAAAGTAGGTCGCGAACAAGATTACACCGGGGATGAAACCACCTTCGCAAAGTCCGATGGCTGCACGGCCCAGGTAAAACGAAGTTCGGTCGTGCATCCACGCCTGGCCCCAAGATGCAGTTCCCCAAGCAAGCATCATGGTCGGGAGGATATACTTGAAGCCATAGCGTTTGGTGAGACTGTATAAGAATACAGTTAGAGAAAGACTTCAACAAGAAAATCGGTGATACTCACAACTGCACTGGGAATTCAGCTGCTAGAAAGCATACCAACTGTATCGTTGTTCCATTGTTGTAGTCGTCAGAAGTCAACCCGAGGTCCTCCAGAAGATTGTCTGCGAGTGCATTCGATATGTTTCCACGATCGAGCTGTGATAGTCAGTATTTCTGATCGACTAGCACAATGTATGAACTTTCCTGCAGCCCGAACATCATGAGACAGAGCCATGTGAGTAGCCGGAGGTCTGTCTTGCGCACCACACGCCGTTCTTCCTCAATCGTCCAGCTCGCCTGGGGGTCGAAGCGATGCCGGCCTTCGTACGTCTCGTGGGGTGGGACGATATCCGCAAGTTCCTCTCTACCCACGTGGGCCGATGATTTGAGCGAATTGGCATCTTCACTGATCCGTGTGGTGTGCGGGGATGCTTCTATGTCGTTGCCCATCGTCAAGGGCTGCGATTGTCGGCTACAGCACAATTGCCACGAAGGAAGGTTATTGCTGAGATGTGATAGACTGGACACTGCACATTCCCTGCTATGCTCTCTTGTCTCCTATTTATTACTTTGGACATGGCATGTCGCAATTCAAGCTCATCCCGTCGCCATCGTCGCCATCCTACCGAGGTAGTAATTGCCCCGAAGAACGAGGGGAAAGCACAATGTTATGCATGTTGATGCATCCCCTATTGGTCTTACTGTCGACATCCGACTTGGCGTTCACGGGGTCATGTAGGCTAGGCCCGGCACGCCTAGACCCAGAGCGTACAACTAGTCCGATGACGTGCTTTACCATGCATGCGGTGGTGTCACCCTGGTTCCGGGAATGATTATATGTCCTGGACTTCCAGACATTCGGAGCCGTTGGTTTGGAGGCTATCCAAGCGTTTTACAACACTGAATTTGAGCCGGAAGTTGCACTAACCGCGCACCACATTGCCTTCAAGATGCCTTCAGTCAAGCGCAGTCGTATGGAAGACGTTCATGAAGACGGAGATGCAAATATCATTGGTGGTCACCCAAGCGCCCGATCGAGACTGTTGGAGCCCTTGATCTATTCCGGATCCTTGGACAGCTTCAGACACCAAGACTTGACCCCAGTCATTGGAAGGGAGTTCGAAGGTCTTCAAGTGACTGATCTGCTCCGATGGGGCGATGCTATGATCAAAGATCTGGCAATAACGGGTATGACTCTCTGTGTGCAGCTTGATGGACTCATGGCTGACTTATAGTTCCAGTCTCACAACGTGGCGTTGTCTTTCTGCGAGATCAAGATGTTACGCCGAATCAGATGAAAGACTTGATGCTGCGAATCACCGAATTGTCTGGCTGTGTACGTCCAATTGACTACGATGTAGGTTCTAATCGAGCAATAAACTGACAACACATTAGCCTTCTTCCTCAAGTTTACACGTACATCCTCTCACCGAAGAGGGATCTGAGCTCGGCGACCAGATCTCAGTTATAAGTAGCGAAAAGCAAAAGAAAGGTGGCGGTCTCACTCACCAACTCTCGGACGTATCTCGCCTTGCAAGTGCGGGCTGGCATAGCGACATCACATTTGAGCCAGTCCCATCGGACTATGCGATGTTGAAAATCCACACATTACCAGCAACGGGCGGTGATACGCTCTGGGCTTCCGGCTACGAAATCTACGATCGCCTCTCTCCTGCTATGCGTTCGTTTTTGGAGGGCCTGACTGCGACGCATGATGCGAAGTTCTTCCTGGACGAGGCAGCGCGACTAGGAAATCCGCTCCGGAAGGATGTGAGAGGCAATCCATTGAACCATGGTGATGCTCTCACAGCCACACATCCGGTCATTCGCACGAACCGTAAGTTTGACGTTGCTCTTGCGCTGCACTCGCTGACTTATCGTGCAGCCGTGACCGGCTGGAAATCAGTATACGTGAATAAAGGATTCACGAAACGCATCAACGGCGTCACGAAGGACGAATCTGACCTCATCTTACCGTACTTGTTCAATCTTGTGACGCAGAACCACGATGCGCAGGTACGGTTCAAGTGGCGGCCGAATGATCTGGCTATCTGGGACAATCGAAGCACGTGGCATTGCGCAACGTACGATTACGAAGAGGCCCGAGCGGGCGATCGGGTCTGTAGCTTGGGCGAAGCACCGTATCTGGATTTGGGAAGTCAAGGGAGAAGGGAGGCTTTGGGTCTGAGATAGCATAGAGATCGATCGCGGTAGGGAAGAATTGAATGGTGGCTGGTACTTAGCGTTGCATTACATCACCGACTCGCATCATTTCATCGCTCGCGCGACTGTCGCGCTGCAAGCCAGATTTCTTAGGGTCGGTGCCTGTGCCCTCGCGTGCTGAGATCCAAGCGTGCAATGGCTACGTCATCGTACAATAATTCGCAAATAGTCCCCCACACGAGCACGATGTCAAATGTATAACGACTTCGTAGCTTCACTTCTTCGGAGAACCGAGACATGTTGCATGATAGTTGGTTCGAGTCTATCAGCTTCAGCATCGAAAAAACCCGCAAAGTGAACATGAAAGTTTGCATTGTCCGTACTATATGTTGGACGTATATACCAGCTACAACAAAATCACCGCATCGACGGATATTGCAACCCACACATGAACGCTATCAGATCTAAAGCCCACCCATCAAACAACAAAGAACAAATATATCCACGAACACCGCTGTACGCCATGCTATACCGAAACCCCAAAGCGCCTTGAACATCCACAAAGTCGTAGCTATAAGGATACTCATCAAGTCCTCTTTTCCCTGAATTGGCCCGTCGGACCCGCACTGAAAGCTCCGCTGATGATGCGCTTGAGTTGCTTAGGTTTACTTTGTGGCACTCTCTCGCCACTCGCCGTGCTCTTGCGACTGAGTCCCGTGCCAGTCCTCGTAATGCCATCCATACTCATACTGACACCGAGATCCATAGCGTTGCTACCACGTCGTGCACGTCTCGTCGCATCTTCGTTCTCTTTCTGGTGTAGAGTTTCCGATGGAAGCAAGATGGCACGATCGAGAGCATATGGAAGACCACGATGTCTTCCACGGATCTGCATGGCGATGATGATGAGTTTGCTCAATGTCTTGAACTGGCCGGAGAAGGACGTATTGAATCCGGGGAATCCCTGACTCAGTCCGACCGTACCGTACGCAGAGACAATCTCAAAAAGGACGGAGAACAGGCTGAATGCGTATTCGTTCGTGTTCTCGAGGCGCACGCCTTCGATGATGGCGATGAGGAAGAAACCCAAGAAGACGAACCATAAATCGAAGGAGAGTTGGCGACGCAGATGATGCGAGAGGTAGCTGGATTGAGTGTCGTCTTCGTCGTCTGCGGCCCAGACACCCAGTGACTTCTCCTCGTAGACATTCGACTGGCGAATAGACATGGCGATGGGGAAGATCGAAATGTACATCATAATGAGGTAGCTGACTTGGACCGCAGGGTGCAGATCGGCGATGTTGACAACGGCGAAACCTGCAGTACGGGTTGAGGCAGCTTGGAAGAGACCAGCGAGGAAGCGGTGACCACCGGATAGCGAGGTCACGGTCGGGTCGTTGAGATCGAGAATGATGAAGAAGATGAGATCGACACCATTCAGGACGACAAGGATCCAGAACAGCCACCAATTTGCCTTGCTTGGGAATAGTAGAGTAAAGCACCGACGCGGGTGATCCAACAGGAAACGAAGCTCTTCCCAGATGGCACTGCTCTTGGGTACCATCAGGGAGTACATCCAGATGGTGAACCGAAGCATACAAGGAAACCCGGTATTTCCGATGATGATCAGGAAGGTACCCAGCACAAGGGGCCACACAGCTAGCTGGAAAGAGACCATCGAGTCTGGAGTGAGAGTGAATCCCAGATCGTTGAACAGGGAGGCTGAAGTAAAAAAGCTCCACCAAGTTGGGTCAACGCCAAAATCTCTCACGACGCCACTATAGTGAGCGTCGTTGTTGATCCATGGCGCCAAACATATAATGCCGATGGTGTGCCACCCGAGGTAGAATATGATGAGGATCATGGCGAGCAGCTTCAGAGCACGATATTCGATACCACCGAGCTCTTCTCTTTGTTCTTCAGTCAAATCAACAAAATTTGAGTTGCGTCCGAGGGTGGGTGTCCAGCTGAGGTAGGGCATCGGGTCCTCTTCTTCGGTCTTGGTCCTGGTAAGGAAGCTCGTAAAAGTCCTTGATCGTGACCTATTACGTAGATGCATGCTCGATGCAGGCACGTTTGCATCGCCCTCATTGGTCCTGGTTCTGTCATAGACAGAATGCCCGGTAGGGCGTTGCTGCCGGTCCGGTACGTCGATGGTGATGTGATTCCTGAAGGGGCGATCGTCTCCGTTCAGAGCATGGGGAACAGAATTTGAACGCTCTCGCTTGGGATGAGACTCATGCGATAGTCTACTCGCAACTCTATCCAATTCTTCTTCTCCTTTGACAGCCTCTGGGATGAGCCCCTGGTCGAAGTCGCGTGGACCTGGTATACGAAGCTTGTTCCTCGCTGTCGGGTTTCGCTGCGCTTCTACGAAAGCGATGCTCTTCTCTTTGTTCGACTGTGGAAGGCGGCCGCCAGGGGATTCTTCAAGCGACTCCTTGGGCTTCTTTTCCTTAGGTGTGCTGAGATTGTCGGCCCATACGATGCCAGATGGAGCAGTTTGAACGGGAGTCGTCGGCCGGAACGGTGGCATTTCGTCCTCGCTGGAACTAGATCTTCTCGGGCGTATGCCATTGCCAGTCCAGTCCAGTCCGTCACTGAAGGCGTACTCGTTCGCGATTGTTCCGCCGTGTGCGTGGCCACTGGATCCACGCATGACCCGAATCTCACGAGCGCCGACCGCTTGCTCTTCTTGTCCAACATTACGTTCTGTTGCTGCATTCATCTCACTCTTCCTCCTAGAAAGTGTGCGAGTCCGACCGCTCCGGTTTCCTCTCTCGAGCACGATGTTCTGGAAACGCTTTTCGAACCAATAGAGGCGAACGACTACGACGGAGCTGTGGATGAAGATGGGCGTACATAAGCTGGCGATAAAGTAGATGACTATCTGTTTATTGTTAGCATAAGACTTGTAGATTTCAAACGCATCACATACCTGTTGATATAGATCCAGTGTGTTTATGTCAATTCTGCGCTGGCAGTCAGTTCACTGCCCTCATACCTCAGGGACTAACATACGTGTTCAAGCCACTCTGTGTTGCTGCGCCGCTTGCAAAGAAGAGCGCATCGACATAGGGTATGCGACCACTGCCGTATATGATGACGGATCCGATGAGCGCCCACCCAATGATATACGAATCTGTAAACCTATCAGCCACAGTTCAGTCCCTCCCCTGTGATAGTGCGCATACAGTGAAGGGTGATAAAGTTGGCGTGTGGTTTGAGGGCCTTAAGACTGGACGGGAGGCGCTGCTTCAGCCATGCGAACATGACAAGCCATGGGC